AGCTTAACAAAAGCAAGGAACTGAATTATATTTTTAAAGTGCTCAAGTGCGGTCCCTGTGAGGTGGATGTGAGAAGGATGCTCAACCCTTCTTTGTCCTCCCCTCCTTCCCACTGGACTATGTTACCCTGTTCACACTCCTCTCTACTCCCAACCTTCTCACCCCTGTGTGTGGGTAAAGAAGGCTCCATCCACCTCCATGAGAAGTGAAGAAAGGGAAGGTAGGAAAGAAAAAAGAGAAGCTACCTTCTCCTCTAACTAGATTAATATTCTTCTTAAAATGTTTCATTTAACAGGCCTCTGAGATGTCTGAGACCATCGAGTTTTCTATCACTCTACTGATTAAGAAAAAATGACACTTGTTAACGGTGGTTTTCTCTAGGGGTGAGATTAGACATCTTAATTTCCTACTTGATGCATTTCTGAATTGTTTTAATTTTGTTAAAATAGACATGATTTGCTTATACATTCTGAGAGAAAAGATAGTTCAAACTTGAGGGAAAAAAGCTAGAATTCTAAATTAGCTGAACACTTCCTGAAGTCACACTTAGAAAAAAGCAGGCTATCCCCAAAATTTCAACCATTAACGTAAATATTTTAACAGGACAATCGCGTAATGATGCCACTTTTAGAGTTGACTTGGTAGCTCAGTTTGTCTATGCCATATTTATTCCCCCTGTTACTCTACCTACAGGCACTGCTTTGTTATCTGTGGTTGCTTTTCCCTCAGAAGATTTCTATATGGGCTCTCACCATGTGATTAACAACATAACGAAGAAGGAGCAGAAGGGACTCTTTTACGTAGCGCTGTTGACCATCTGCCTTGGCACGGGAGGAGTAAGAGCCATCGTTTGTCCACTGGGTGCTTACAGCCTCCGAGAGTCTGGATCAAAGAAACAAATGTCCTTTTTTAACTGGTAGGTAACACCACTTAGGGGAGGAAACAGGTTTCTGACATTCTTTTTCTTCAGGGATTTCTCACTGTTTGCTTTCTGATCCCGTTTTGATGGTAGTAGTTCGCTGTTGGTCACTATTTGGGCTGGGTGAGTGGCGATGTGTCGTTGCCTGTGACAATGACTTAGTCAGTTATTGTGGGAGCATATGATCAGGTACAGACCAATACAGCTTACCAGCACCTTCCTGAGACATGCTGATACATTTATCCTCCAAATAAACAGGTGTCAAGTGACTTGTCATGTTGGATAGAATGTAGCTTTGGAACCAAACTAGCCTGGGTGGTAGTCTCAAGTCTACTTAACAGAAGCCACCTGACCTTGACCAAGTCATTCATTCTCTGTAAGCGTCAGTGTATTCATTTGTAAAAGAGGATAATAAAACCTTTTCTTAAGTTTTACTAGAGGTAATAATGTATATATTGCTGGTAGAGAACCTGACACATAGTAATCAATAGATGGTAATCAGTGGATGTAGCTGTTATTATTAAGTACGTCTACA